TTATATCTTAAACATAGGGAGATAAATCGGTCAATTAGATAAATATTTATTAATCATTTGGAGGTTTGAATTTATTCAATAAATTGCAGCTAAATAGAGAGAGTAATTCTAGTGGGATGTTTTATTATTTAATCTTATTTAGAAATTAAAAATTAATTATATTCCATAATTTGTATTCCATTAGAAGGGGAATATTCCTTCTAGAATATTACCCTAGGGTTAAGAGACTTTAGAGTCTTCTAGAAGGGTGATTAGGGTTAGGAGGAATAGGACTCTAATATGGGATATTATATGTACCAGATCGGTCCGCCGGGCCAACAAACCGAACTAGGTTGAGTAGGCAATTCGAGCAAGACATTCCTCGAGTGATGAAGGTCTAGAGATCGAAGATAGGCGAATTCACAAGTACTTGACAAGCCCCCAATATATAGCAGATATGGTCGAGGCATCAAGTGGTCGAGCATAACAGGAGGTGGTCGTTAGATCGACCACGTGGTACTACCGGGGTGGCCCAGCAGTCCGCCCAGATATGGTCGAACCTAAGAGCCTACAAGGAAATCCCCAGCACGTGCGCGGAGGATGTGTGGCGAACGTTAATTGGTTTATGTTGATAACGATTTCTGACACATTCTGACATATTCCTGACACCAAGGTAGTGGAGGCAGCAGACTGTACGGTCGGGCAGTTAGGGCAGCCAGCTCAGCTCGCCCGGGCAGCTCCTAGGGTAGGTAACTCGTCCCTATAAATATGGACGAGGTCTCTTGTTCTACACACAATCTCTAAATACATAATTCACATATATTCTTCATCTTCTCAAGACTGACTTGAGCGTTAGAGGCTCTTCACTGGAAAAACCCGCCGGTGTGAGAGTTTTGTGCAGGTGCAACGTTCTACCGGTGAGGAAGGCGAGCTTGAAGTGGTCCAAATCCGGTTGGGGCATTACACTTGTATTAGACTCATAGATGGGAAATGATATGGAACATAATTAGGATTCCTAAGCCTAATGTGATAAGTCCATATTTAGCACCTTTTTAAGGTCTCTAATGTAGCTT